AGACAGACAGATAGATAGATAGATAGATAGATAGATAGATAGATAGATAGATAGATAGATAGATCAGATTTGCTTCCATAAAACTCAGTGTAAGCAAGCCTTGGGTTTTTTTAATGTCATTTGTTAATTATTTTTTTCCTTTCTGGGTTCCACTGATAACCATTTTACTATACATCAGCATTCTGTGACAGCTTATTTTTAATTTATATAACCTTGTAAGTAGGTTTCTTAAGTTGATCTACGAGACATCCAAGATTATACTTGAATTACAGTATTGTTTTTCTTTAGATAAACAATTTTATCTAAAGAGAAAGCTCATTTCAGCCGCTTGTATCTCAGAAAGCTAGAATGTTACACAAGACAAAAAAAGCCTATTTTAAATTGAAATGTCAAAATTCTAAAAGTGTGCTAATTTCTTTGCATTAAAACTTATTTGGTCTTGCTTAAAAAGAATCAATGAACCATGGTATGTAGTCCTGTGTTTCTGCTTTAATAGAAACACAGACATATTTTATCCTTTTATTTTCAACAAAAGAAGGTCAAACAATTTGTAATTTGAGATTCTCCATTCTTCCAGATTCTCATTAATAATAATAATTAATTAATAATTAATAATTTAAAAAAAAGATGTTGAACCACAGATAGTCTAGTCCAATATTTATTTTAGCCCAGGTAACATTAGCTCTCACACTGTCTCTGGTTCAGGAATGAGGTAAAGAAGAATTGTTGACAGCTGAGGTTTGTGTCCTGGATATCTGTGTATGGCAATAGCTGTTGAAACACCGACACCTAAAATCTAAAAGTCCTAAAGTCTTCAATGGTCAATCATCTGATATTTATGCCTGTTGCTTGTGCATCTAGCAGACTTTTTTTTCCCTCCAATTGGCTTTTTGTTGATATTCTTAAACACAGCAGTCTACACAGTGGCTTTGCCTGTTAGCGAAGAATGTCAGTGACTCCCTGGTAGACCACTGATAATCAGCAGTTTATCTCAGCATGCTCATAGCTTGACATTACAGGATAAAATTATTTTAGTTTAATTTCTGTCATAGTTTATTAGAAGCTGAACCTTTACTTTACTTTAGTCATATGGCAAAGTGACCTAAATTAACAGATATAAATAATCACTCTTTGCATTATGTACCTGTATTCAAGTATCACTCTTTGAATTGATTAGATTCTCATAAAGCAAGATGCTTCAGCACATTTATGTACAAATCAAATATTACCTAAGAAAAAAACCCTTTTGTCAAGTTATCCCTCCTTAGGATGTTGCAATTCTTTATCATTTGTCTCTAAATCTAAAAAGCCAAAATGCATGTTTTGCATTCAAAGAATAGCTTTTCTGCTGCCAGATTTTAGGCTGCTTCATTGGATTTACGTCAATCGTTGTGACTTGATTAGCTTGACCAAAGACAGATAATTCTGAACAAACATCCAGATCTGCAGAGAGGTCATTGTTTTATTTGGACCACCCTGTTTAAGCCACTGTTAAACTCACAGCAGATTTTGAAATATTTCTCATTATGCTGTTTGGATAAGACTTGAAATGCTCTGTTTATTTTGATCTGTCTTGCTGACATTTGTCCCAAACAACTTAACTGTATGACGATGTGAGCCACTTAGTGAAAATCTGCTTTCTGGTAACATCTTGAATCATTGTTTCATCTTCAGCCCTCCCAGCTTTTCGTGCTGTTTGAGGTAAAATTATATTTTAATGGAAGATTGTCTCTAATTCTTGTTTTTACCCTGTGTTTAGCCTTTTGGAGGGGACGGCTGGTGTGACACCATCAACAACAGGGCCTACTGCCAGTACGATGGAGGAGACTGCTGCCCGTCCACTCTCTCCACCAAAAAGGTATTAATTTCCTTCCCTTTAAAGGCGTCAGATGTGTTTTCCATCAGATTGCGGGTTGAGTTTAGTATTTTGGAGTCATCGTGGAGTTTAGACCTTTTTTATTGGATTCAGACTCAGATTCTTCCTGTTTACAGTTGTAGAAATGAGTCTGTTTTGGCAGGAGCACCGTGCTGCTGTGCAGGAGACCTCTGTTAAGTAAATAAACACAGATTCGTTTTAGTTTCCCCTTGCTCCTACTAGCAGCTGTGGCTATTTGGTCCTCTTAATGTGCACAAAAACAACAGAGGGGCTTTTGCTCAGGTTGTAAATATACAAGTTTTTATATATATTAAACTGCATAAGGGATGAGGGATCTAACAGATATGAAACAGGCTGTAGCAGAACTCTATTGACAATATGCTGAATAATATCTTTGGATGCAGACATGATGACAGATTTTGCTCAATACAAGATAAAAAGTATCCCATTGCAGTAAATATCCTGAATGGCTACTGCATTTATTGGATGCCTCGGAGGAATGCTATGAATAATAATGAGAGATTCCAGGTCAAGCAGAGCTGGAAACCACAAGCCACTTGTTCCCTCAACTGCTCCTGGATAAATACATTTTTCTTCCTATTTTTCCGCTCTTTCATGACAACTTCTCTCCCATGTGGACGTTTAGAAAGCCCAACCCCTCCCACAAACCATTTTTTCAATATACCCCTCTTTGGCTACTGTACGACCACATTTTCATGGCACTCGTTGGCCGTTAATTCTTATGGCCTACAGTTGGCCGAGACTCCACTGTCTCCTTATGTCCGCAGCACTCCATGACTCACTTTCAGCTCCTTCTTCAGCCGAGCAGGGGTTCAGCGAGTCTGTAGCTGCCGTCATAATAAATGAGCTGCCAGACTGCTCCTAACTACTTCTTTTACTGGGGAATAGAGGGGGAGATGGTGGAGGTAGGGGATACATATGTGGGAGCAGAGAGGTGTCTGACGCTCTGCGGTTTACTCCACCACTGTAAAGCAGCAGCTCTGCAAGCGGGGGTCGAATATTGAGGAAGTGAACTAAGTCGGCATGATAATCAGCATCCTAGCTGCGAGTAGAAAGAATCACAAAGCAACTAGGAAGCGTAAATCTAGCATTAGCGGGTTTCTATGTTTGTACATGGTGTGACTTATACAAGCATAGGACATTATGGTTCACAAAATGAACAGCAATTTCTCTGCTGCTACTCAGTAATATAACTGTTTAATATTTTTTTTTATTCTAGTGACAGATGAGGGGGGAGCTAGAATTATTTTAACAACACAATAAAAATCAAATGCACAACTGAAAAATAATTAAACCCGCAAAGGCAGTGGGGGAATCTGTTGACAGCACAGCTCTTAGTTGTCCACTCACAAATCAGCCTTGCATGCAACATTGCATGTGGAAAAAAGCACTGCACATCATCCCCACTGTGAGAAATGGTGGCTGGAAGGTTTTTCTTTAGCAGGTACAGTTGATGGGATGATAGATGGAGCTTGATGCACGGCAGAAAGCAAGTCTAAGCATACAAAGTAAAGAGAGAGAACAGAGACATAGGTTTAAAATTCCTAGCTATGCATTGGTTTGTCATAAACTGCCCATAAGAGCCATTAAAGTCAGTACTTAAATTGTGAAATAATGTGTAAGAGTCTACAAAGTCCAATTACTTTTGCAAGGCTTTTTGACTTGTGAGTCTACTGGAGAAAAAAAAAACATTAAGGCTTGTTAGGTTTTTATTACATGCTGTGTTTGACGCTTCTTTTTGAAATGTTGTCATTATACGCGTCCAGTTTTTCAGTGTGTTGCAGTAAACAATGGGAGTCAACTTTTACACACTCAGAAACACCCAAAGGACTCGGTTTTTGTGTCTATGCACGAAGCAACAGAACCCCTTCCAAAGGTTGTTAGGGATCTTCAGCAATGGAGTAATCATTCAATCCGAATAGAGCATTTAGAGAAACATTTATATGGAGTGCAAACCCATCTTAAATGGCACTCCTGGTGTTTTAACTGAAACTAGGCCTTCCTGCAGCTTGTTGAGAGTTCTCAGTAAAACAGCCCCCCCTAAACCCAACGTCAACCCTCTCGCACTCAGTAAAGCAGGGGCAATTAACATCGACGTTTGCTACCCTCCTACTCGTGTTGTGTGCAGTCGTCATTTTTCCCCTCTTCTGCCTCCCACTCCTCTTTCTTTTTCCCAGTCTTCCCTTCACTCCTTCTCTCCGGGAGCAAATGTTTATATTTCTTGCAACAGACTGCTTCACGGGGCACCAGAGTTTATTTTGCAACCTGTGGTGATGGCTTGCTTCCTAGACGAGAGCTGGCAGCGTGTTCTTGTTGATTCCTAACATGTGTTCATCCGTTCATCTCCACGGTGGTGCTCCTCTCCCTCCCTACTCTTCTCCCAGAAAGACAACAAGGCTTTCTTGCTGCTCAAAGGCCAACATCGGATCATTTGACGTGCTCTTTATCGGCCTTCTGAGGGCCGTTTGAGCTCTCTTTAAAACTGTGAGGAGAGGCGACGAGTACTGAAGGTGCTTATTTTTCACCACCAATACAATGCTGCATGGTTGGTCCAGGCAAATGTGTTTTTTATTTTCTGGTTTTGTCATTCAGAGATGTGCTCTTTGCAACAGTTGAAATGTAACAACTCAACTGGGAGGCCCTTCTTAAAGACTCTTCTTGTTCCCTGTTTTTTTTTTTGTTTGTTTTTTTAACCATGGCTTGATTTCCTTTCATTCCTAGAAATTTCAATAAGTACAACAACATTTTCATGTTTTTTTTTCATGCATGTGGCTTTTCTCATAGCAGCATTCACCCAATCACAAACACGTCTGTACACTGATGGGAAGGGGAACCTTAAATGCCTTGCACAGGAGCACTTCGGCATGTGACAGGAGGAAATTGCACTGGATTTGAACATGAGGGCCCTAGTTTCTGTGATGCCACTCCATCTCAGCTACCCAGACTTTGACTAGGCCAATTAAGTCCTTTTATTTTCTTTGGAGGTATTAAGATTTAGACTGCTTGTGTGCTTTGGATTCTTTTTTTCTTGTTGAATTACAAAATTATGGTTGGGCTAATGTAATCACACTGATACCTGGTTATTCTCTTACAGGTTGTTTTATTTGCTAAAAAGCAAAATTCATTAAAGTTTCATCAAAAGCAACACCAGACGATCACACTTCCACCACTACTTTATAAAATACTGAATTAATTTTATGTCAGTTATGCCAAAAAAGTAAAGGGTTCATCATTTCATGTCATGTTTTCTTAGTCCTGGCTACATTAAGATATTTTGGACCAAATGCAGGGTGGTCCTTTGTGCTCTTTTTGCCCGAGAACTCTCACATGGATACCCCTTTTTCTCAGTCTCTTAAAGGCGTCATAGATTGATTATATATTATTATTAAGGTGCTGGTTCTTAAGGTCTCTCAATATGGTGTGTAACATTGGTTTGGCTGAAAATGGCATATTTGCTGTTTTGTGTGCACTAATGCAAGCCTGGTTAAAAGCCCTCGAATGAAACGACAAAATGTCTTCCTTTTATGGTATGCTCATGAATATTTAGATGAGCTGTGCTCTGATTGGTTGGTTTACAACAAGCAAGGCTGCTGAGCAAAGATGCATCATAACAACAAGCACTCGCTTGCTGAAACACCAAATTGTTGATATGGTAGGGTGACCAGACGTCCTCTTTTTCCCGGACATGTCCTACTTTTCATACCTATAAAAATGTCTGGGGGGGCTGGCCGGGGCTGGGGACGGAGCGACCGAACCCGACCCGGTGACGGGAGCCTGGACACTGGCGGCCCCGTGCTTCCTCCCGCCTGCCTTACCGGCAAGGCAGCCATACCGTCACCGGGTCAGGTTCGGTTGCTCCGTCCCCGGCCACCGGGGTTCCTGGACCAGCCCCGGAGCTCACCGCTCGGTTCGAATGCCCTTCCCCCTGTCCTCCTTTTCAAAAAACCCAAATCTGGCCACCATAGATATGCTAGCATTGATATCAACAGCTTTGCGACAGAATCATACTTACAGCTTGCAGTTGTGATGGCCTTTAGGTTGGAACAGCTCCTCGTTTCAGTAAAAGAACTTTTGCAAATTCTGCTTTGAACTGTCTAAGATTTTAAAAAGGAGTCCTCTGTAAAATGCTTAGAGCAAATGAACATTTGACCATCAAACTTTGCAGGAATCTTCTGATAGACAAAAATAATCTATGCCTGTTGAGTCTTCGTATCCCTTTGAACATTTACGCCCCTGGTTCTGGCTAATTTTCAATAGAGAAACTGCCTGCTTTGTAATTCTTGTAGAAGTAAACCCAACTGTAGGCTAAACAACTACTGGTGTCTTCCATCTACCTCTATTCATGTTCTTGGGCCAGTGAACCAGTGGGAGGATGTGTATGTCAATTTTTGGGCGCGACAAAAGTACAGGCCAGAACCAAATAAGGCAACATCCCAGAGTTGACGTCAACTCGGTGCTTCGTTTGAATTCGCCCGTTTTATGGTGGAAGTTTAGAAATGTGACATTAACAGAAAAAGGATGTGTTGATGGGGTTTGAACTTCTCTGTACGTCCATTGAGCCCACTGAACTATCTGTTTTGCATTTTATGACTCCTTAAAGGTTTTTGGGGCCTGCTGTGCTTTAGCTGTTTTTTCTTGTTTTTTGTGACCTCCTGGATTAGTTGCTCATGAGCTTTTAGAGTAGTTTTTGGTCAACCAGCTTATTCTTGGAAAATTCCACACTTTTCCATGTCTCCTTAAATGTGGCAATAATTGACATTTTAGATGGCTTCTGTAATTCTTTACATTTATATTAGAGACTTTGTTTCTACTTTGTTTTTGTATTTCAATAGACTAAGATTTTTCAGTCTTTAGTTGACCTCTTAATTGTTTAGGTCTGGCAGGTCTAGCAGAGATTAGAAATGAGCTTTTAGAAAATATTTTTATTCAGAGATAATTTATGACATTTTTCTTAAGGGCTAGGTTGCTTATGGATTTCATTTATTTCCTTAATAAATAGAATAATTATTCAAAAACATTCTTTTCAGATTTACTCAGGTTATCCACATCTGATATAAAAATGTGTTTGTTTATACCAAACATTTAAGTGTGACAAAAGGCTAAACCAGAGGATATTTCTATGGGGACAGATTTTTAGATAAACATAGATACAGACCAGATCTCTGCAGCTGGTCTGGTAATTCGATCAGCGGATCATGCTGTTTGTTTACTGACAGGTCATCCAGTTTGGAGCGGACTGCAGTGAGGACGAGTGCACTTGCCGTGATCCAGATGCGGAAGAGAACAAAAGCAAAGTGAAACCCTTGGACTGAAGAGGAGGAACTGGAGGAAGAGGAATGCAAAAAATTAAGACAAGAAGGGAATCTGAACTTGTCTTAAGCAGAAGTTTGAATCACATCCCGTTCACCACAGCAACTAGTAAATATCAGATGTGTGACATTTCTTAATACAAATATTGTGACTAACGTCAGACTTATACCATAAAAAGCCAGTTGTTTTTCATTCCCGCATAGTTTGTCCTTCGTTTCCTTCCTAGCTAACTTCTTTTGTTCCTAGCTAAGACCTAAAAGGTCATCTTTAATGAAATATTTGAAAGCTTTTTGGTGTTTGGAAGTCTTCTTCAGAAATAGAAATCATCATAATTTCATTAAATTTCTGTTCCAAATGGGCTCAAGTAGTTTTCCAGACCTAATTAATCTAATTAAAAGGGTCATAGAACCTTCCTGTCCTTATTGCTGAAGAGAAACGTGTATAGACTAACATGTATAGATAAAGTATCTGCATCATCCAGTATATCCACAGGCCACCTCTTAGCAAAACGTGTCATTATTATATTTATATCACAGCTCAAGTGTGTTATTGTGCTACTGTAACATGCAGCCATGCTTCCCTGAGCAGCAGTGCATGGAAGTTTTTTTTAAGTTGCTCAAATGTGACAGTTATGCTTAAATATAAATGATCATTGTGCAATTTCAAATATTGACTGTAAACACAAGTATTATTCTCTCTATATCAGCACCACTAAAACAATTCTGCACATATGATAAAATTGTGATGAAGTGTAGGAAAGACAGTTTATTCATTCAACACAGACTTCATGAGTGTAATAGAGAGTCAGTGAAACAATATGATGGAATACCATACCAGTATCAGTCAAAGTATATGGTGATATTTTACTGTAATTTGTAATCTATATAATAAATTACAACTTTGTATAGACCTGAATAATGTCCTTTTTTACTTTTATGATACAACGGGGTTCATATTATTATCAGGTTATATTTTTTTTTTTACCACTTTATCACTCATCCTTTACAATCTATTCCTTTTTTTTTATTTGTTCTAATAATAGGTTATCCTATTAACATTAAACAAATGCCTACTGTTTCATAAAAATTGTGATACCCTTGGTATCTATTGTACAGCCTAAATTGCAACATGTTTTCTTGAATGTTTACGCAAATAAAAAAAAAAACACAAAATAGTGCAGAAATAAAAAGTGAGAGGGAAATAAAGTTTTTACCATTTTGATACAAACACAAACCCAATCCATAAGCATTCAGTCCCTATTAATCTAATACCAAAAATGAAGGTCCTCTAATTGCCATGATTGGATGATTTGTTGGACAGTTTTAATAAAAAAAAAAAAAAAATAACAAAAAAACAACTACATGAAGACAAAGTTGCATCCCAGACTTGTGATGGTTGAAGTTGTAGCAAAATTTGCTTTTAAACCAGTTTATTCTTTGAAGATCTCAATAAGCTCTGTTTTAATTAAGCATCTTGAAATGTAATAACTGCAAAGCTAAAACTGATGGATAGAGCCCAGATAAAAATATTCAGAGAAGCAGCCAAGAGGCCTACTTTAGACCGGAGCTTCAGGTTTTCAGTCAAAAGACTTTATGGTAGAATGTGTAATTAAAAAAAACTATCAGGGTTTGCTAAATGGTGGCAGGAAGTACATGCATGTTTCTCCTGCATGCACCATTATATAAGTGATGAAGAGATTAAAAAAGATATGGAAAAATATGATCTGATAAGTAGATTTAAAATCAGCACACATATCACTGAAAATATCATCATCAGAGAGCCAAAAAGAAGGCAGCAACATGCTGTGGGGATGCATCTCTTCTGCAGGATGCTTTCCTTTTCTTTCCCCCTGGTATCCAACATTCATATTAAAAGCTAATATTTGTGATTGAAGTTTTAAAAAATAGGAAATTTTTCAGAGTGTAAAATCTTTTGTAAGGTATTTGGAGGGATAAATACCTACTAAGATTTCACATCAAATGTGCAACCACCAGGCAACAGGGAACCTTTAGTAATATAATGCATACACAAAACATTTAAAGGGTTATTTTATTTCAATAAAACATTTGGACAGCAGTCTGAGCACCGAGACCAGAACTACAATAACAATTAGTAATGCCAGTCTCAGTACTGCCATGGAAAACCAACAGTAAAACAAGAGCACAAATAAAACATTTAATAGACAAGCCATTAGTGAACTACCCTCTTAAATCCTTCTGAAAGAAGCAAGGATGAATGTGAGAATCTGAGTTTATGATGCCACACAATAGAGTATTATAAACAGCATTTCATGCAGATGGGAAAAAAAATGTAAAGATAACTGATTTCAGACTTGTTACCCTTTATCTCAACCTAAACTGCTCCAAAAGTCAGTGTTATAAAGTTACAATCAGATCACCCACATGAAGAATAAAATCAGTGCTTAAAGCTACAATATACAGCTTGTATGATGGTACAAGATCATCTTTACCAAAGCACTAGTCAAGGCTGAAAAATATCACCAGGAGAACATTGTATTTACAGAATAAAAGATTAGAATGTGATGACAATATGTAATACTGTCTATACACAAAATCTACACTTTTTTAGTATTCACATTTTAGATCTGTTAAGGAAAATAAAATTCATTCATCAATGTGTCCCTCAGAATGATCAACATTGCAAATGAAGTCTGAGAAGTTCAAAATAATTCTGTTTCAAACACAAATGACATGTTTTTCCAGCACAAATTATTACATTTAAACGAAAAACAAATCTTTTTTTTTTTGTAAATATTAAGACACTTTTGTTTTGCAGCTTTGGAACAGAATTACTGCTGGTTAAACTGTTTGAAATATACTTAAATGTTAAAATGATTCTGAAAATACTGTTTAAAAGTATTTAAAAGCTATAACAGAAGTAAGTCAGTATGTCTTGGGTGATTTTAATTCAAACAAATCGTTTATATCAATCACGTTTCTAAATGCAAAGTATCAACACTACATTCAGTTTATATATTGTAGCTACAACGTCATGATAATGTTATTTACAGCGTAAACTTTTTTTTTTAACTGCTAAACTCCACACAACAAACAACAAAAAAGTTATTTTCAGGTAGACTTCAGGTCAGTTTCAATGAATTAAGCTATGATCAAAAAGGTTATCCATATTAGTAACTCTTTTGTAAAAAGTAAACTTGTACATTATATTTTTGTGAGTTATATATTGATATAAAGGTATTTTTCTGTTGTTGTGATTATTATGGTTTAAGGATAATAAAATACCAATATGCAGTTCCTAAGAAAATGTCATCATAATTTTTTAGTAACACTATAAAAAAATGCTTTAAACAGAAGTGTTCTTTTATGGGTATTATTATGGGCGAAACTGCTAGCTTAAAGATTGCCCAGTAGGAAGCTGGCTGTTCAGAGAGTGCTGTATCCAATATGGGAATGTTGAGTGAAAGATGATCAACAAAGAACAGCAGGGACACGGGCAGCTTAAAGAGAATTTGGAGAAAAGTCCATCAGAAGCATCTGACCACAGCCAACAATGCAGACAAGCTGAGGCGGCCTTAAATTCCCTAAGAAGTATGGGCCATGCTTTTATAGTCAGATGATATTATTTTTTTGAAACACTTTATTTACTGGTGTGATGTCATTTTGTTATCTGCAGAAAAAAGAAATAAATACCAACACACAGCTACATGACCAGTTATGTGAAACCTGTAATTTGGGGGGAGGGAGCCAAAAGCTAAACCAAACTGAAAGTCAGACCTAGAGCTCCTTGGGCTCACCATAGTCGTTATACATGACAGTGAGCGTCTGTTCGTCACAGGCCTTGTGCACATCCTGCCCCATCTCTGACCAGTTGAGACCAAAGGCTTTGGTGTCGGTGTAACGGCAGGACAGGAACTTGAGAGACATCCTGCGAAGGCCGATCTTGGGCTCCTGCAGGAGACCTTTACACCACAGAGAAAGCTCGTCAAGCTGGGAGAGGATGAGCCCCGCTTTCCTGTTGGAAAACAACATGGAGAGTTTCAAAATATGTAGAACAAATCACATGCAGATGATTTAGAATACATTTAACTATATTGTGTAGATTTTCTAAAAAATACTCAATAGCTAAAGATTAAGTTATTCTGTCCAATACAGATTAATTTGTTTTAAGCCATTCAGTTTCCTAAATTTATTGTCCAGTGTTTCTGTTTACAATAAGCAAACAAAGCACCATAATATGTCCTTTCAACCCTCCATAACATAGATGGTTGCTAGGCAACCTGATATCAATGGTGATATCATATATCATTCATTCCTTCTGAATTCTCCTGATTCTGAATCAGAGGAAGAAAGATGGAGAGACAGATTCTGATGTCATGAAAATATTCTTTTCTTCAGAACCCATCCCCGGTTATGGGGAACTCATCTCTGGGGACCAACAAACCTAGAGACAAGAAGAGATGCTGAAGTCAGGTATTAGTCAGGTTTTAAACTCAATCAGTGGATACAATAGCTGACAACAAAGTGTTTGGCCACTATTTAAGAGTCATACCAGACGAATAAGGAAGATTCGGTCTCATTAAATTACTTAACAATAAGTGAGAGGTGAAGTAAGATCAACAAATACAAATGTACCATCTTCCTTGTCAGTGAAGCAAGCAAAACCAAAACAGGGGCAACGGTTTGCAGAGATGTTGGATCAAGTGTACAGTTGTAATGGAAGATCCAGACCTACACTGATCCAAAGACTGTACCAGGCAACTTAATACGTTTTAGGACCAGCACTTTTGGGGTTGCCAATTATATTGAAGTATAAAAGCACTTAGTTGTGATGCATGGGAATAAATCAACATAATAATTTTAGTAAATTTTTTTTTCAATACAAATAAATAAAAACAAAAAATGCTGTTGTTAGCCATCTGGCTGGATTCTACGCCTTCTTCTGGGCCAAGACTGAACACTAAAACTAGGTTATTGACATAATCATCCTCCGTCAGATTTAGGTGGTCACTAACCTGAGTTTTCTCTCTACAGAAATTCTGGCTTTTGACGCCTTTGCTACTGAGTTGCAGATCTGACGTACGTTATCTGTCTGCTTCGAATTCTGAGCCTTGACATCTAACTGATTGGGATTACCTGCTAGCAGATATAAAAAAGACCTAGCACCAAGTAGAACCTGAAAATCCAACATATACTAATAATGACCTGTAAAATTTTGGAGGTATTGTATCATGCTGTTTTGTTTCTTTGCTGTCTTTATGTTGCTAAAGCTAAAAAAAACCTGTATACAACTTCAACAGACAAAAAAAAATATTTTCTAAGATGCTGCTGACACTTTCCCTGAGAGAGTTCATCTGGTCATACTTTGTCCATGATGTTGGTTTATGATCATATCACTGTCTTCTTACAACCTGAGACCAGCTTATCCACTTCTGCTTCTTCCTTTCTGAGGCAGTTTAATCACATGTTCCGACCCGAGCTCAAAGCTCATCCCAGCAGATGAAAGAAGGACTGCAGTTAAGCAGTGGAAAAATAAAAGAACAAAAAACTAAAAATCTTTTGCAATGAAGAGCTGGTCCTGGAAAAGAAAACTTTTCTAATGCCATTGAGACACAATAAAATGCCTCAAACCGTCATTTAGCCAAAGGGGGCCAGCTGAAAAATCATCTCCTTTGGTAAAATGATGCACAGAGTTCACATAAAAGCATCTTATAAGACTCTGTGAGCCATAAATAATCATTATACTTGCTTTGGCCTTTTTGGCCTTTATTATGAAATCTTGTAGATGTTTATCTAAGGTCAGAATATGGCAGCAGGAGATTTTTTCATTAATTCCACACACAGCTTCTTCTCTTTGTTTAGCCAAACTAGAAGGTTCATACTGCAACATTTCCACTCTGTCAAGAGTGCAGTCTGTGCAAAATGCAGGGATCAGCAGGCGTGAAGTACGCCATGCTACTTATCTACAAACTAAGACCATAATATCAATATATGCTCAGAAGTCACCTATTGTGCTTTAAAAATAGTGCTCTCCCTTAATTTTTAACATTTTGTTACTATGCAACAAAATTATTTTTTTTGTTTTTTTCCCAAATATGCCCTTACAATGAGTGATGTAAATGGCATGTACTTATATAGCGCCTTTATTCAAGTCAGGAGACTTGACCAAAGCTCTTTACACTACATTAATTCACCCATTCACGCACACACTCACTGATGGTGGCAAGCTACATTGTAGCCACAGCTGCCCTGGGGCTCACTGACAGAAGCAGGGCTGCCGTACACTGGCGCCACCGGGCCCTCTGACCACCATCAGTAGACAATGCAGGTGAAGTGTCTTGCCCAAGGACACAACAACAATGAAAATCAGAGTCGGGGCTTAAACCGTCAATCCTTTGATTTCAGGGCAAACTCCTACATCCAATGCCACTGTCGCCCCAATGTAGTCGTGGCTGATTCTTCTGAGATTCTTCTAAATATTAGGAATTACACTTATATTTTATTTAGGATTTGTTTTTCTATTAATACCCCAAGGTAAACAAAAAAAGATCATTTACAGCACAAATTATAAAAATGATTGATTGTTTAACTAAAGCTATTCATCCGTTTATCCATCTTCTTCATCCATCATGGTTGCAGTGGGGTTCTTACAGTTGTCCATAATGTTATTTGCTTTATAAAGAATTCTTCTTTGTTAAATCAAATGTTAAGTCATTTGCTATGATGCCGTTACAACAGCAGATTATGCCAGAAGAGATCACACTCTCCACAACAGGATAATAGCCGATCTGTAGCATCTTGCTGCAATCACTAAAGGGCCTTAGCTAGCTTAAGAAGTACATTCTGCTCTGTTAATTCTTGTAGACGACATCACAGTTGTGTGTTTAATATGAGTTTGTTGTCCAAGTGTATTTACACTCCTCCACCACCTACACTTCTGTTCTGTTCCTTCTTCTGAAATGTACACTAATTTCCCTTGTTTTATTCACATTCAGGATCAGATGATTGTTTCCACATCATTTCACAAAGTGGTTCTCTAGCTCTCTGTACTCAGCTTCTGTCCATCACACCCAATGAATGCAGTCATCCGAGTATTTCTGCAAATGACAGAGCTCTGTCTTGCTGGGGTCAGAACTGAACAGAGTAAAAGGAGTGGTGTCCCACAAAGGAAGTCAGGCTGAATCTTTTTAAATGTACTCGAGTAATCGAAGAACAAGATAATCTGTCATTATCTCAGCACCTGTCAGTATATAACCGGCCTTCGGACTGCCCATTGGTGAGATCAGTATATAACCAGCCTTCGGAGAGCCCATTGGTGGGATCTATTCCCAAATTTTGATTCCTGACTTTCTGCCTGCTTGCCTGACCTGCTATTTCCCGGTTTCTGAGCCTGCCTGATCCTTGTCTGACCTGGCTGCCTGCCTGTTCTGCCTGACCCTTAGGCAGTTGCCTAACCTGGAACCATTTCTCAACCTCGTCCTGTATTTCCTTCTGGTACTTCATTGGACTTCGAATCACCTGGCTCTGACTCTGAACTTTGTCCCGTTCTGGTTTGTTCTCCTGTCTCTCCTTTTCTACTATTGTCTTTAAAATTCTGACCCTGCCTCACCACGGATCAGAGTAACTGAACTGGTGTTATTCACTGGGACGTCTTGGCCAGTGAGAGCAACATCAGCACTACTGTCAACCCGCTCAAACCTAACCTTGTGGTTCCTCCCAGGCTGAAGACTAAGAGAAGGTTAGTGACCATCATGTTTGTGCCTGATGCACATCTTGAAGCTAACCTGGTCACTAATCTTCTGTCTCCATTTACAGAGGTTCCTGCCCTAGTCGCTGACACTACTTGCAGCAGTTTTGTTTCAACTAACTATGTTAAGCTTTTGCACCAGTTGTCTGGTTTGAATTCTGGGTCCACCTGTCCTGATCATTACATTATTACAGTGTCACAATTGAAAGTGTACAGTATTTGCAGGTGTATGATGTAGCAGGTGTAAGATGTAGGGCATTCGCCAAAAAGTCAACAAGTCGACTCAATTAAACTGGAGCGACTCGCATCTCTACAAATTACGTTTTTTTTTTTCCCCCCAAGTATTGATATTCTTATAACAATGGCTTCTTGCTTTTTATGTCAGGGCAACAATTTTGCCCTGACATAAAAAGTCAGGGCAACAATTACAATACTTACAATAATACTGACAACATATTCTCCTGTCTAAGCTATGGGTCTCTGTAGCTCGCTCCCGAGCTCCACTGGACCTCTTGACTGCAGCTCTAAAATAATGTTCTCCCTGCAACTTTAAGTTATTGATCATCATTTACAATGTATGTAGTTCAGTTTAAACCTTAAAATCAGAAACCATTAGGTATCATGAGCTCAACTGTCAGTCATATAGTGACCTAAATAAAAGTATGCCTCATATTATCCTATCACTTGGTGGGTAACATTTAGCGCCAACAGTCTAAGCATTAGAAATGTATTGACAGTAAACTGCAACATAATGTAATAAAAAAAGACATATTCTAGTTTTGTTGAATCTAAAGTTTGATATGGATCTGAACTTTGTTGTGGAATAAAAGCAGACATCAAAAGTCAGTGAGAAAAGATGTGTTTTATTTGTAACTGCAGCGTGCCAGTCACTGTGGCAAGCTAATATCCGCTTGTCAAACTTACATTCACATGATAAACCACAAATTTTTTTCCACCTCGGGATTTTGCTGAGGGCTGCATGGTAGCGTTTTGGGTAACACTTTTAAAAATATATATTTTTAACAAATAAAATTGTTATAAATTTGCCTGCGGCCTTTCTTTGAGGGGATTGGCAGGTTGTTCTTCACCATGGGAAAGTTTATTATACAGGTATCCAAGCTTTTGTTTGAAGATCAACAAGACGCACAAAGATTGACAGCTGGATTTAGCAGTGGGTGTTTGTGTAAATTGTTGCTTTCCTTCTTTATCGAGGGATATTAGCAAACTTTGCAAATTATGTTTGATCCAAAGTTACATTTGAAGCAATA